CCAGCTGAGGATTTCCAGCCCATGTTACCGGACCGTCAGAGGACTACACTTCTCTCTTTTAAAGATCCCATGACATGCTTTTCCGGTTATTACCTGTAGCTTTGTATGCATGTAAAGGGTCTGCAAAGTCACAAACCCTCAAAGTACACCCTGTAGCGAGTAAAACTCTAACACAGAAAATACCTGTCTATGCTGCCCCAGAACGCCTGGTTGGAGATTTCTCTTTTTCAATCTTTTTCAAGCCTTATCTTTTCTCAGCCGCGGCTCCGCGGATTTCATCACACACACTGTGTGTGTGTGTGTGTGTGTGTGTGTGTGTGTGTGTGTGTTCGGCCTGAGTTCCTCGGTGTTTGAACCAGGAAACGACACCAGTTCGACAGCTCACACTGTCCGATTCTCGAGCCCCACAGGGCGGAGCAGCGAGCCCTGCAACGTCCCGCCAACACGTCACCCAGACCCCAGCATTCTCATCTGTTTGTCATTACTGGTGTCATTTTCTGGTTGCTAACAAACGCCATTGTAACACATAAACACTGATGTTCCGCTGTAACGGTGGTGGACTCATCAGAGCAGAGTGGGCGAGCTGACCAATCAGAGCACAGTGGGCTCATAAAAAAATAAAGGTTTTACATTACATTTGTGACCTGCTCTATCGAAATCAGTCGCATTGAACAGAAGACACATTTTGAGTTGTATACACTGCTGGAAAGAGGATATTCCTAGCTTTCTAATGATATCAGGATTGTTTTTGTACTCCAAATATTAAGCGAAATATGTCACATTATATAATGACTGTCACCGAGTCATCATTTTGAGAAAAAGGCCTTCAAAGTTTTCTCTTCTCTGGAATCCATCGATCTGATTGATTATTAGCGGAGCAAATGATCAAAATACTACGGAGGGAAGATGTTTTCGTTTGGATTACTGGTCTGGGGGAAGCTCGCGAGTGTGTGTGTGTATATGTGTGTGTGTGGTTGTGTAATTTTGCTATTGTGTGTATTACGTTTGTTTCCCGGGGAAAACCCTCACGAAAAACACCGGCTGTTATGCCTGCTGTGACGTTAAGTTACCCCGTTCTCCGCTTGTAATTATGCCGTTACAAGCATCAAATTTGTATTTATCTTCTGAATTTGCCGAAGCAAGTTTAATATTCTGAAAGCCAAGACTTTGTTTAATTGAAATCAGATGAAAACAAACTGTAACGGACCCTGCCGTGTTATTTATGATTACTCTACGCTTACATTCATAATGTCAGCCGGAGGGAGGGGGGGCGGCGCTGTGGAAGAGCAGATTGCCTGTCATCTTCCCTTTACAAGCTTAAATAATGTATTTATCGTGTGAGTTTGGAAATAAAAGTTTCATATTCTGAAAGCCAAGACTTTGTTTGTTTAAAATCAAACAAAACACCCGAACCCCGAAAAAATAGTTTTTTACGCAAATCCACGTTTATTTTGAAATGACCCGTTGCGACTTCCGACTGATTTCGATAGAGCGGGTCACATATTTGAAGACATTTACTCTTGTCTTTCCTACCAAATATGTTTGGCTGTATTTATGCCGGACAGCGTATCTGTCTAAAGGCACTGCTATCTTCATCTTTGTTAGGAATCATCTAAAATGATCATCCTTTTAAATATCACCAAAGTAGAGACATCTACTTTGACTGTCTAGTCTATTCGACTTGGTCTGATAATATGTTCAGTAATTTTGCCCGAGAGATGTTTTATTTGAGTGATGGGTTCATTCCAGACAGCTACCAGCTTTGAGGTCATGCATTTATGTAACCTCCCTCCCCCAATACAATAATCCTAGTCAACCAGACTGGCTATGTAAGGGGTGAACATGTAAATAGGAAGATATATTAGAGGTTTTCATACCAGTACCCCTAACTGCCCTTTCAAATCGGCTTAATCAGATTGTAGCACCTTGGACAGCAGCACAGGGAACATCCGCCTGTTTTCCTGCAACTTGTTTTGCTTCAGTGATTTAACTAAAAGGGGCAGAAGATACTTGGTGCACTTAGAAGCACTCGATTTAGCCACCCAAGCAATGTGTGAAGTTTACTGTGACCTTGCATGTCTCCTAATATTCCCCCAAATGTGTGTTTGGGTGAAAGAATGAGACACAAAGACAGCCAGAAATAACCAAATGTGAGACCGTAAGGATAAGTGCTGCGTTGGTAGTGTTTTTGGAATCAATCAGTGACCCTGCCGACGGAGTGTTCCCTCCACCCTGTCGAGAAAATCCCTAGCACCCCTGTTTGTGACTGATATATGGGAGCGTTTCTGACTGTGGGTGGCATCCTGTCGGTTTGCCTTACTGTCACCCTCTGTGAATGCTGCTGGGAGAGGATTGCCACTGGTGCCTCCCTCTTCTCCTCCCCTCACTCTCTTCCTCCTTCCAATATCCTTCCTTTCAATACTCCATTATTTGTTTTTTTCCACTTACTGATTCCATAAATCCTTTTCCTTTCCTTGCCGTCCATTCAACCCTTCCTTCACCTCCCTGACCCTCCACCTGACCCTCCATCCCTCTCTTCTCATTCCACTTTTACCTTAACCTCCTAAACAGCAACATTACATCTCCTAGTCATTGTTCTGGCCTCTGTGGTCACGTTAGCATCCCTTTTTATAGACTGGGATAAGAGTGGGTGACTGGAGAGAGGCGCCGTGGGCAGGGAAAAGTCATGGAGTGCGAGGGGGAGGGGCTTTCTGGCGGGGCCTGGGACCTGAATCAGACAGACAGTGAAACGTCACACCGAACCCTGACGACCCGACTGTGATCGCATTTTTTTTTTGTGTGCGCTTGTCTGTGTGTCTCTTTGTATGGCGGCTGTGTTTGTGTGTGTGTGTTTGTGTGTGAATGGGGATTCACACTGTTAGTAGCTCAGAGCCAGCTGAGGATGCAGTGGAGACAGACAGAGACAGAAGCGCTGAGCAGCACATAGAAACCACCACTGAATGTAGAGTTGTATGGGACTAGGATTTCTGCTTTTGGGATGACATTTGGCAGGTGAGGAAGCCGCTATATGGAAGTGTTTACGTTGAGTTATGTGTGAGTGTATGTATGGGGATTTGTATTCAGCAGAGTTCAAACGCCTTGTGTCATTAACTTACAGTACTACTTGTACAGTAGTGCGTCATCAGAGAGGAGGAGGATCTAATGTCTGATGATCCATGTTGTCACTGCAGGTTGTAAGCTGTCCGCCGGGGAACAGATCTCATTGCTGCGCCCAGAGCCCCAGGGAGAGGTGCGCTCACACTCACTGGACCAGCAGCAGCAGGCCTTGGCTACAGACTTCTTGTCAGGTACAAGTCTAGCATGACACTTTAAATGAAAAAAAAAAAAATGAAATTCTGAAAACACTTGTGCTTCCAAATAGTGAAGCAAACTAGCTTGAAGTCATAATATGGAAACATGGAAGCTATAAAGATCTGTTGAATATATAGTTAAGAGCATTTAAACAACACGGCAACAGTTGTTTAAGTGTTGTTGTTCTGAACTGAGAAGGCATTCAAGTACATTTTAACCAAATAAATGCTGCACAGATGTTAATGAAAGCATACTTTGTGTATCCACCCCTTCATTTAGTTTCACTCCAAATGTAAATGATTGCTCCCTCGGCCCTTTCTACAAACTATATCAACCTGAAAACATCACCTTTTCAGAGGACAGAACTAACAATAGCCGTATGCGTTATTTAAGGTACATTTGATAATGGAAGGTGTTTTCTTACTTATGAATCAGCCTTGAAGTATTTGGATAAAGGTATCAGTGACAACGATCTGCTTTGCTCCTCTTCCCAACGCTCTCTTGTTAACTTGTCCTGTAGCAGTAGGCAGGCAGTACACATTCATGTGTTCTTGGTGAGAGAGGTCTGAAGGGAGGGGCTGGGATTTAAAAAGCTGTTTTTTCCAAAGTTTGCTAATCTAGATTTAAAATGGAAATTTGGAATTGTCTCTGGTTTGTAGAAGTTCCCAATATAAATACTAGCACAGAATCATATAGTTATTTTTGGAGGTAAGAGGCATTGCTATATGCAGTACTGTGCTCGGAACACTTTAGTACGTTTTCAATGCCTTCTCTCTTTTGGCTTCTTTCTTCTTGTCTACCTTCGAGCCACCATATCCAAATTGTGAATGCCCCCTAGAACTCCTTGTTGATGTTCTTTCTCTTTTGATATTCCTTTGACTACTTCATCAATTCCTACCTCTTTCCTATTTCTTTCCTCAACTACTGCTACCTCCCCACTTTTTCTTTTCCTCCTTCCCTTCCATTTCCTATAATCTGTGACTCTTTTTCTCCCTTTTGCCAGCCTCCATGGCAGGTTTTTCAGGCCCTCTGGGCTCTCAGACCAGCCCTGCCCAAATGATGGATGCTGGCAGTATTGAAGCTTTTTCAGGTATACTGCCAAAAAGCAACAGTGCATACTATTTATGTTATAACACCAGCAATACAAATACTGCAAACATAACTTCATTCATAATGAACTTTGATGACAGGTCCTTAAGAAGCCAGATATTTTGAGAAGCCAATAGTCGTACACTAATCATCTTCACACGAACAAATTGGCTTCAATTAAAATGCTGAGTGGTAGTAACAGTGGTGTAAGATATCTGCTTTCATCTTGGCTGGCAATGCAAATATATTGTTGTCAAACAAGTGCCTTTCGAGAAAGAGAGTTTAACACCATCATCCCACCGTGGTGCTTCTGTTCAAACACCTGTTGCCATTATAATGCTATTATTGGAGGTCAGATTTCTTGGACTATGGTGTTTTTTCTTTCCTGCACTCATTCCTACCAATAGCATTTAAACTCAACACCAAAGAACTCCAACTTGCAAGTCACACATTTATATTTCAAATTGCATAGCCTTATATATGATAAATGTAAGCTTTCATTCAATAAATCTATATCTGCTAGCCTGCAATTTTATTTTATTTTTGTTGCCATGTTTCTTAATGTGTAATAATAAGTGGAATTGCAAATGGCATAACTACATGGCTGGATTTGTTGTTTTATTTTAGGAACTGGTAGCTAGCCAGGATTAATGGCAGTGATATTGACATAACTGAAATGTAAAATGCCGCTGTTAATATAAAAGGTCAAGTGCATACATAGACAATCTCTATGTTTTTTTTGTTTTGGAGGGAAAGGATCTTGATTTACCAGAATTAGGCATCTGTATTTCCTAAAAGTCAACTGTTACTATTGTGAAAAAAAACAGTGAAGTTATTCTAGCAGCTTGACCTTTTTTTGCAGCTGTTTATAATGATATTGTGCATCACTGCATGCATGTCCTCCTTTAAATTTGTTATTTTGTTAAAGGTCATATCAAATTAACAATGACTGTAAACGCATGGTGATTTTGTTTATCTTCTACAACATGGTAGCAAAGCACTCTTGCCTGTATTTTCAACAGGGTTTTAATATATGTCCATGTGAGATTTGTATATATAATCTTTACTATTCTTACATTTTTTTTAGATATGCAGTTTGACCTTCAATCATAGAGGATTACTGCAACAATCGTATTATTCCACATCCCAAATTCATTTTTAACTCATTAAAAGTGTCACTCCAGTCCGACAAGTGTACCGGTACTTAAATCTGTGGTCCCACAATCCGCTCTGATAAATGGATTGTGGTGAAGCAAAGCTTGTTAGCTGAATGCAGAGCTGTAGCTGTCACTACTGTGGTGTCTGCTGGTACTCCACACAGTGACACACACACACACACACACACACACACACACACACACACACACACACACACACACACACACACACACACACACACACACACACACACACACACACACAAAGCATCCCCAGGGGCCGTGTAGATTGATTGTGTTGTTTTGTCTGAGTCACTCCTGCTGCTGTTTCTCCTACCTTGCCCTCTTTGGCTTTCTCTCTCTTGTTTTCATTTGTTCCCTCTTGCTCTTTTTGTCTCTTGTTTTGTCAGTGTACCGTAGTGTAGTTTAATTAGATAATGATGTGATAAATAAACCCTTTTAGAGAATATCCTTGTCCACTTTGTTGGTGTTTGATAACCTACTATATGCTACTAGTACTATTACATGGTGTTCATTGGCTACCCTTTGCTTATGTTATCCATCTTGTGATATGACACTTTGTTGTGTTGTCTTTTATTGATGTTATAAGCTGCTTTACCTTCAAATTATGTAATTATTACTTACTAGACCATAGTCTTCACCTTATATTATTATATCCACATTACTGAAGATTTGAAGACAATGGTCAACCTTACAATATATTCAGAACATTTCAATTGAGTTATTTGGTTAAAAGTAGTGTGATATTCGATTGTCTTCATAACGCCCGTGCCACCGCTACATGGGTAGATTATTTTCATACATACATTGAATTGTTGTTGTTGTTGTAGCATCAGAACTGACAGAATCCAGAACACTGGCATAACGGTATCTTTTTTTTCTTGCCCTTTATTGACAGATTTCCCCCAGCCTGGCGGCAAGGCGGTCAATGTGGGGGCTGCACCCCTCTCAGCAGAGAGAACTCCAAGTATAGCAGAACCCCAGCACCCCACACCCCCAATGGGTTCAGAAGTCCCTAAAGGGCACAGCCCCATGATGCCCGAACCCCAGCCTCCTCGCAGCCCTCTGGATTTGTCAGCAGGTAAAATATACATCATATACAATACAGTCACACTGCTTATTGTTATTTAAGATACTGTAACATAACCCACTTCTATAGCAGGGTTTGCACTTGACATGTCTTGAATCAAGAGGTGTCACACCTGCTCGCAGCAGAACAACTGAAAAATAATAATACTTTATAGTGAAATAAATCATATATGTGACTCAATTGTTCCACAGAGGGTTGCAATATAAAGAGGAGATGTCCGCCATTGCTCTGCTATAGCTTCCTCTTCACACATCCCAGCTCCAATGTGATTTAGTCTAGCTCAAGGTCAATGCAAATCTGATGCTGACACGTATAGGGTCGCCCATCATGCCATGGCTCCTGGTCATGTACTGCATGTGTTGTGTTTGCGTGTGTGTGCATCTCTGTGTCTACTTATCCTTCAGAGAGAAGCTGTCTGTGTGTGTCACGGTCTACTCTCTTTGACCAGCCCACAACCCCCCCCCAGCCCCCATCGGGCTGTTCTCCAGTTCAATGCACATCTGATCCTAGAGAGCATGGAGTTGTAGTTGTCACCAATCTGTGGCTTGTGTCGGCTAGTAGGGCCATGCTTACATCCCATGTGGGCAGCAGAACTTGGCAAAAGGCTTCACAGCAGCTGAGCCCCCATGGTGCGTTGCAGAACTAGTCTATTAGATATATTAGCAGGGGGAAAAATATCAAAGTGGATTTGTCTTTATTTTATGAACGCCAAACACACAACTTTGCTTACAGCAAATAACCAAAACCTGAAGAAAGGAAATAGTCTCCTCCTCATCTAAGACTCGAAAGCTGAAGATTTATGGTTGTGAGGGAACTGGTTTTATCTTCAAATAGACAGCTGGCTCCGGACAGTTTCTGAGGTAAACAATCTCATGACTTACCATAGATTCTGAAATAAAAAGTGAAATCAAATAGTTTGCAGGGCTGGTCACTAATAACAAAGCTTGTGTTAAGACATACAAACATGGGGGAATAAGATTATCAAAACTATAATGGCTAGTAGCAAGGCAAGTTAAGTATAATGTCATATTGTACAATCTGTTGCTCTGAGCTTTTTTACTGACTCAGAGTCAGCCTGCTGATGTGCATAACCGTCTTAAAGCCAGACCACCAATTCATTTAATATCTGTATAACGTATAGTTGTAAACTCATTTGAATTTATTAAATAAAACTGACAAAAAATGTAGTTTATGTTGACGTTATGACAGATAACCGATGCATTTACAGTATAGGGTTAGTATTAACAAATCTCGTGCATCTATACTTTAACACAGAGAATGCTGAGATTTTCCTCTTAACATAATAGTCTAGCAGGAAGGGCCCTCAGATTTGGAGATACCCCTACCCGAGGTAGAACAAATGACAACAATGATTTTTCTTATCTTTAGGGTCTCCCATTAATGAAATTGATTGTTGTCAAATTTTATTTTGGGGGAAAAAATGTTTTTGGGTTGTTCTTTAGAACTACCCAAATCCCTGAAAAAGAGCCAAATTAGACCAGGCCGAATGTGGGAAAGGTGACAAAAAAGCCCATAACTTTAGAATGACAACTCTTTTCCTCTTCAGATTTGCTGAGGTATGAACCAGGTGGCTGTCCAACATCACCAAATAGTCAGACAATTATTTAACTAAAAAAATACTGAATTATAGTCCTGTAAACTTAGCTTTAGTTTAGACGGAAAGTGTACTTTTGGTGATAGGAACATAGGACTCCATCACTTTTCTCTCATTTATCAGAAAAACAGAAATCCCTAAAAAATATACCATTACTGAATTGTCTAGGGTGCTATTGAACACTAACCAGTAGTTGTATGGAAATATCTGGTACAGTTCTATTGCAAATGACATTTCTTTAGACATATGCCTACCTCTTCTCTGATACAATCAAATTCCAAATGGGGGAGAAGTGGCATAATAGCCTATAAGTTAATAATGCTCACTCTGATGGTCATTATATTTGGAGAGGGAAATACCAGGTGGCTGAACTACATCACCAAATAGTCAGAATAAGAGTAACCCAATTAAATATTGTGTATTAGTTCTAAATTGCTA